AGCAGTGTAGCTTGGAGCTTGTCCACGTTAACAAGCATCCAGAAACCTTTTCACATTTTAATAAATTTTATAATCTAGCTCTGCCCTGTTGGGCATCTAAGCAAGCTCTGGCTTCTTGTCATCTTGTAGTAGTAATTGTAAATAGTGTAAATATTGTGTAAATTGTTGTAAATATAGTGTCAGTGAAAAGCGCGTGTGTTTTAGTTCCCTATCCAGTCGATCGTCCAGTCCACCTAATTATACAGTCCACTAATTATCAAGTTATTTATCTTCCATTATGTGGTTTTGCACACCATTCACAATCTGATGTCCACAGGTACAGGTTATCATCTATTCAATGCTATTTGATAGGGGAAGGTGATAAATTTACCTGTACCTGTGTACATCGTATTGTGAATAGGATATAAGTGGTATTATAAGTCTGTTCCAACCGACATGAGAACCGTTCTAGAACGATAATTTCCAGTCCATCAATTCATTTGTCAATAAGGATAAAAGTTCAACTTATTGAAAAATAGGCGGGCAACTGGAAATTACTGTTCTAGAACGGTTCTCATGTCGGGTTGGAACAGAGCTATTATTATTATGCTTAGGACATTGAGGCATTGGAAAGAGTCCAAAAAAGAATTACTAAAATTCCACCAAAAACCCAAGACCTCACCTATGAAAACTGTCTGAAGGAGTTCAACCTAACTGTAACTACCCTATATGACAGGAGGATACAAGGAAATCTAATTGCAGTGCAACTTACAAAATCTTAAGTAATTACTACTCTGTCAACCTGAATATATAATATAATCTGAGCGACAACCACAACCTTCGAGGTCACTCTACAAAATTAGAGAAAGAAAGATGTTCTAAACTTCTCCTCAGAAGAAACTTCTTGTGCAATAGGGTAGTCTATACATGGAATTCGCTAAGCGAGGAACTCGAGGAAGCAGTCACATCTCCCAGTACCAACTCGTTGAAAAATAGGCTAGATCTCAGTTTGATGTCTAAGACATTTATTAAATATTCTGTGTAACCTACTTAATAAACATTTTGTGAACTTGCTAGAAAGGCAATTTTTTGAGCTGAACAGATACAGCAGCTTCATCAGTTCTACCGCTTGCTGTTGTTTAAATAATAATAATGAAAACAGAAGAAAGCTAAATTGTAGCTATTTTGATTATAAAAAGGCAGCATACTTCATTCTTGGCTTATTTATGTACTGAAACTACTAAATATATAGGTACAAAGTAGATCCAGCACTAGTCCAATGTTTGAAAATCATTATGCCAGGATGGATCACAAAGCTAATGATCGAGAAATTGGAATACTATTACCCCACCTGAGGTGCCGATTGGAAGAAGAATCTTCGCGGGGGACTCCCTAAGCCCGATGTGGTTTTGTTTATTTTCAAACCCATTATCGTATCTCCTGAACAAGGACAAAAAAGCATATCAATTTAATAAAAGCCAGAACAATACTTGAATTTCCCACTTAATCTACAAGGATGACCTAAAACTTATCAGTGAATCTTGAATCTGGACATGAAAACACTCGTTGACTATACTGTCATGTTCAGTAACGATATACGGATGGAATTCGGCATGGACAAATGCAAAACATTACACATTGCTAGAGGCCAAATATTACTGGCGGACTACCAAATCAATGAATGCGATAGTATTAAAACAATGGAACCTACTGATTTGTATAAATATCTAGGATAAAATCAATCCAGACAGATGGCTCATTCAATGATAAAAGGTAAACTTTGAAGCGAGTACTACAGAAGAGTAAAGCTGATCTGCAAAACATCCTTATCAGCAAGAAACCTAGTAAAAGCATTGAACACCTATGATGCACCAGTCTTGATTTACTCTTTTTGGGTTATAAAGTGGTGTCGTACTGACATTATTAATTTACAGATTAAAACAAGAACTATACTTACCAAATGTAATTATCATCACCCAAAATCAGTAATTGAAAGAGTTGAAGTATAGAGACCTGGGGGGACGCGGAATAATCGATTTGGAAAAAGCATGGGAAATCCAGATTAAATCTCTTGCCGAGTTCTTCAATAAAAAAGGTAGATACTTCTTTTTTACATAAAGCTGTTGTAATGGCAGACAAAAACTGCACCCTATCAAAACTATCGAATTGGAAAGCTAAGGAGTTACATGGATGATTTTATAATGACCTAATGAAACCAGACATTGATAAAGACGCATCAAATACCTGGCTTAAGAGAGGAAACCTATTCCCAAACACGGAAGGATTTATGATGGCGATACAAGACCAAGTCATAAACACAAAAAATTACAACAAGAATATACTAAGAAATAATGTTGCATCTGAAAATGACATATACCGGAAATGCAAAAAAGCCTCAGAAACGAAATAACCAATGCCATTGGATATAACATATAACAGGTGGCTGCTCAATGTTAGCTCAAACTATTTATACCGACATAACCAGGCTGCTGGTAACATACACCAACAAATAGCTCAACATTTTAAGCTAACCAATGAAAAAGATGTCCCTTATCATAAATATAATCCTCCTCCCATAATTGACAACGAATCTTACAAGCTGTATTTTGACCGCGCATTGCTATAACCGATAGAAGAATTATGGCTTATAGACCTGACATTACCCTCAATGATAAAGTAGAGAAGAAAGGTTATCTGATAGATGTTGCTGTGCCGAATAATCATAATGTTCAGAGAACAATGGGCCACTTTCACGTGCCGGGAATATGGCAAATTATGATATTTTTTGACGTAGATACATCAACGCAACCGAGAATGAACAATATTTTCCAAGATTTTAGTCAGATTATTAAATAAATTAATAAATAAGAACTAAAAATTTAAACGAAAAATCACGAGATTGAAAATGCTCTCTGATTGGCTAAAACCGATTTTGACATTTTTGTTGCCACATGTAGAAATGCGAAATATAAATGAGTTAATAAGGATTATACCTATCCTTTATTTTTTCATAATGTAGTAATGGACGAAAATAGTTTCTAGCTAGTGAAATGTGTAATGATTTACTAATGAGAAATTTGGCAGGCATCCTCACATTTTTGTTGATTTTCTGGTTTGTGAGGTCAAAAACCAAGTTCGCGTTTTCGCGCCAGTTTAAAAATTCCATTTTAAAATAATTTTTTTTTTTTCAAAAATACGCGTTTTTTTCGGAAAAAAAGTATACAGATAGTATTAGAATGACTAAATAGTATATTACATTACGAGTGTAGAAAGTGACAAATTTCACACGAGTGTTTTTTCGCGCGAGGCGGTAGCCGAGTGCGAAAATCACACTAGTGTATGAAAGATGCTTTCTCACAAGTGATTTACACCATTTTTCCTACGACCAGAAACCAATTTACAGCAATTTTCTCTTTTTTTTTTTTTCATTTTCAAAACAAGCGCTGAAAGTAAATTGTGATGTCAAATGTCAATCACAAATAATGTCAACAGTATTTTCCACACGTGTGCTGAAAGTACTTTAAGCATGCGTATTGAAAGTATTTTCAGCACGCGTGTGATATTTAGCGCTTTCCAAAGAACCAACTAGTGCGGATTTTGTCATTTTCATATGTGGTCGTAGGAAAAGAATAATTTACATATGTTTTTGAAAAATGTGAAAGTGGCCCATTGAAGAAAAAATCAGTAAATATAGCGAATTCCGAGAAGAAATGACTCGAATATGGAAAGGAAAGGCAGTGGCAGTACAAATAATACCGATCGTTATATGTATATACTAATGGATTTATTCCAAAGATCCTACATAAAGGCATTTGATCACTTAAGCTTCCACCCGATTTGTATGTGCAGATGCAGAAGGCCGTAATATTGAATGCATGCCGAATTGTAAAAAAAATTTGGCAATATGATGCTTTCGATGAAGACTGTTAGAACAAAGCAATTACCTACTTGCCATTCGGCCGTAGTTGTAGATTGACCAGCACAGAAACTGAGACTTTCAAAATAAAAAATAATAATAATAATATTATTTACTATAGTGAAATTTTCAACAAATTCGGATATTGTACTTTTAAATAATTATTATCAGTGCGTCGCTGATGTTACCTAGTTCATTTGGCTTTGGTTTCTTCAAACGACCACCTTTTTTCAGGTCAAACGGTAACCACATAGGACCACACATTTAATACCAAATAAGGGAACCAAATTTTGAGACTATATAGTTTATTGAACTGTTGATTAAAAGACCGAAAACTTGAAGCTTCTGGCCTTCATTCTTCAAAGTTACACTGCAGTTTGTTGTTTTTAGGATAATTAATAATGGTTTATTACTATATTTGATTAAACTATCAAATTACTGGAATTCAGATAATGAGAATTAAACAAGACACTTTATGGAGTACGATTGGTTCTGCCGGATCTAATAACTAATAATATGTTCAGTATAATAATTTTAATAAAAAATATTGATGATAAGTTTCTGATATTTTATTTATTTTGTTACTAGCGGACTTCAACACACCTTATGCAAGCAAAAAAGGACAGAAAAGGAAACATAAAAATCAAACAAAAACAAAATAAATAAAATATTATATTAAAAAAAAAACAGCACATTAATTAACAAAAAGTAATTGAAGGTGTTTTAGGTTTTAGTCACTTACAAATATAAAGAGATAACAAAAAGTATAAAATATCAAAAACCTTCACCAATAAAAAAAATCTATAAAAATAAGTAAAGCTAAGAAAAATGGACGGAGATGGATATTACATATCACAAAGAAATTAATACTAGTATAATTTTTCCATATGCATTCAAACTCTTTTATGCTAAATTATTACCCTTGATATTCATTAAATGTGTTATATAAAAACTGGCAGGATTAACTAGGACACCCTGTATGCATGGATATTCAAAAAAATCAGATCTTTCAAGGTACAAAGCCTATCTCTAAATCTAAATAATTTACGGAAAATTATTCTTTTTCGTCCAATTTAACCCCAGTAAAAAAATTGGCCAACCTTACCAAGCCGCTGTCTTCAGTCTGCGTGGAATTGCCCGAAACTAACGATGTATTGCTGCCACCTGAAGGACTTCTGGGTACTTGTAGATTCGCTGAACGTCTCCTTTCTGACTTCGTATTATCGTAGAGAGCATAAGAACAATTATTGGGTACCTTAACTACACATCGTTTGTGATAGTTTTGACCACAACCTGAAAAAAATATTATATTTATTAGACTAGACTATTTATACTGATATTTTCTTGGCTAAGTTCATTCCTCAACGTTGGATATTAAAAAAAAATTATATATATGAAATTTTTGAAAATCTATAAGTAAATCAGAACCAAAAAATTTTTCCTCAATAACTAGCTAGGTATAGAAAATAAACTACTTAATAGGAACTAAATTACTCACCATCACATTTTAACCCCTGTCTCACTAATCCGAAAAGCATTTCGCCACAAAAATCACAAAAAGTTGGGGTTTTGTAGGAGTGCACTGACAAGGCATGCGGTCTAACTATAGCCACATCAGAATGTTGTACGTTTGGAACTAGAAAAGAAAATTCAAATGAAATTTATTACTTAAACACTTTTTTAGATTCTTACCTTTGGCGGTTAAAACAATTTCGATAAGAGTCTCATCAACAATATCCGAGGCGGAATTAATAAATTGCAATATATTGTTCGAATTATATTCATGTTTAAATAGTAATAGTCTATCTTCTAATCGATTAATTCCATGATCAGGAACCTGAAACATATAAAATTTATTTGCAAAAAAAACTCATACTTAAGAAAAATCCTGTACCTTAGAGTTAAGAAATTCGCAAGCCAAATCCTTGATGGTCTTCAAGTTTAAGGTAGACTGAGGAACAGTCACTGCATCTCTGATGAATCCAAATTGAAACATAAAGGTTACTTCTGGTCCAAGATCGTCCATCTTTGGATATTGGACAAGATAATCTTCTATGAATCTATCTGGGGAGTAAATATAAATCATTAGTACTGAAGTGTTTATTGGAATTGTTCTGAAATCAATTATTTTGCAACCTATTTTAGACTAATGTAAAAATAATAACTAATACTTAGGTAACACTTGATTTTTGAACTAAATTGAGGTATTTCCAAAAATTATCTGGTTTTATGTAATTAGGTAGTTGAATTTAATTGGTATGAGGTATCTATACTTTTGTATATTATATAGGGGCTTGAAACGGGGTGATCCTGCTGGTGAATTCCTTTTGTGAATATGCCAAATTCAGCACCCCAAAATCTATGGGAAAAAAAAGCTCGACTACTAGTCGTACTCATTGTATTAAATATTAAATTTGCGTTTCCTTGGGGTATTGAATGAACAATTCCCTTAATTTAATACGTCTATACGGGATGTCCCACCGGGAGCCAAATCGATCTAAGTACAATGCCTATATGAAAAACTGTATGCAGAAAATTTTTGAGAATTTGACAGTATACTAATCATCTCTTAAGCTAGAAGAGCAAAGTCAGCAGAATCGAAAATCAATACATGGAACATTAAAGGCTCATTAAAGGCTAATTAAATGCCCTAATGAAAAATTTTAGGCGCCTTGAATTTTCGCGAAAATGCCTGTTCTGCTAACTTTAACTTAAGCCAGCAGAACATGAGCGAAAAAGTGGCTGAAATAACGAAAATTGCAATTCCACTTGCATAGACATTAAAGGCTCATTTAAGGCTCTCGAAATACACCAATCCCAAATTTCAGGCTCAATTACTTTTTTTTGTGAAAATGCAAAAAGCGCGATGCGTGTGTGATGTCGGCTGAGCATGACAGAAAAACCTCTCAGAGGGTAAAAATCACTGCTCCGCCAATTTCATGGCTATTCTGCTTGCACAGACATTGAAGGCTCATTAAAGGCTCCGATAATGCACCAATCGCAAATTTCAGGCTCAATTACTTGTTTGATTTGGTGAATTTGGAAAAGTCTGATTAAAATTGCAAAGCGTCCAAACTAACCAGGTTATTATTGGTAAGTTTAGAAATGTCTGAAATTCACGATTAGTGTATTTCCAGAGCCTTTAATGAGCCTTGAATGTCTGTGCAAGTGGAATTGCAATTTCTGTCGTTTTAGTCACTTTTTTGCTCAGGCTCTGCTGGCTTAGGCTAAAGCTAGCAGAATAGCCATTTTTGCGGAAACTAGCAGGCTTAAAATTTCTCATTACAGCATTTAATTAGCCTTTAATGTATTCACGACTGCACTATCGGAACACTGATTTTCACTGACAGGCTTTTCCGCCATGCTCTGCCGACATTACTCACATATCGCCACTTTTCGCATTTTCACAAAAAAGTAATTGAGCCTGAAATTCGCGATTGGTGTATTTCAAGAGCCTTAAATGTTGGTGCATGTGGAATTGAAATTTTCTTTGTTTTAGCCACTTTTTCGCCCATGTTCTGCTGGCTTAGGTTAAAGCTAGCAGAATAGCAATTTTAATATATATTGAAGTTACTGTTTCCAATTATTCTGTATGTAGAATGTCAATGTTTTTTAATTTCAATTTTTTATGAGGGGTCATTCACAACGGGATATCCTGTGTACACCCTGCAAGAGATATCCAAAACTGTTCAGGGAAATCTGGGGAAATTTAGGGTTGGCAAAAACCTGGATTTTTGAAAATTTTTATTGGTTTTTTGTATTTTTGTAGGATTTTGTGACAAAATTGTATATTTATTTATTAGTTCATTAGCACCGATTACTACAATTTTTTTTTAGTTAAGTATGTTATTGACTATTTTTCCTTAGGATTTTTACTTTGTTTAATATAGATAAGAAAAATGTGAATAATCCGAGATTTATTGTTATTAATCCTAACTTTAGTTTTCTTTAAATTTATTTTCAGACTTTGTGATTTACTTATATTTCCAGATACCTACCTATATCAAATTTAGAACAATGTCATGTGTATTTTAAATGGACAAGATTTTGAATTATAAAAATGAAATTTTCAAGAAATAGCGAGAGAAATAGTTTATATTTTGATTTTGTCAAATTTAGAGCTAAAATATAGATCAGATAACAAAGAGTTTCTGAGAACTAAAATTATCATATTCTATGATTTGCTCATATTTTTTCTGAGCCTCAGATCCACAGAGAGACTTGGGAAGTACCTTTCTTTACTCATCTATTTTTATATTCGTCATTCGGCAGTAGACTATTGTGGAGGAATAAGCTATTAAAAAATTAATATTTACCTAAGCTATGATTCTAACTGCCTTTCAAAACAGAATTTTGGTAAGCTACTTCTAGTTGAGCATTATTAAGCATTCAGCTGTAGATGTTTTCAATAACTTCCTCTTAACAATTGAAGTTGCGTTTCACTGATATCCAGGGCAACAAATCATGGTTTGATTTTTTTTGGTAATTGGTGTCCCCCGGGGAAGCCGTACGCCATAATAGGTTAGGATCTCATTTGGTACACGATTATACTATTAAAGGTAAGTGTAGCAGTGGGGCACTACCGAATACTGGCGAGAAATGGTTGAATCATGATTTGCTGTAGGGTGTCAGCTGCACAAGCGGTTTCAAGTGAATTCAGCCTAATGGGGCTTCAATAGAATAGCCGAATGCTCTTCAACTTTGCCAGGCAAAATTGTTTTTGTGCTTTCCAGATGAAAAGTCAAGTGATCATGTTCTATATTGCAGCTGAAATCAAATGGTCACGTCTCTAAAGAGGAATAAAAAAACCTTTCAAAGGAGGTATCATACAGAATAGTTTCTCATTTTAGAAAAATCATTAGGGAGGCAAGCCTCCAAGACAGGAGGGGTAGGGGTTAGGCAATAAACACATTTGGTTTCTCCGATGTGTATTTGACCCTTTTATGATGGAATTCTTTTGCCCAAGAGATAGGTAGTCAAAATTACTAGGTAGTTTTAAAAATATGCTTATTTTTAAACACTGATATGTCATAAAGTAATAGTACAATTGAAGATTTTGCTATAAGACTGTAAAAGGAAAGCAACGAGCGATCCAACGATGTGCAACACAAGGTAGGTTCGTATTTGAACAAAATAAGTTAGGGGTAGCTTCTTCCTAACAGGTAAGACAGGGTGAATCAAAAAATGCCTCATTTGGTTCCCCCTTCAATCCCCCGATACGTATTTGAGATCTTCCTGATAGTATTTTTTGTCTAAGAGATATTCCCGATTGCTACTTTTCAAATTGTCACCCTGTATGAATTTGCAGATATATCCAAGGATATAGTTTTTTGCTAATAATCACATTTCCCACAATTTCATCTCTTACAAGAAAATTTTCTTGGACAGGCCCAGAACATAAGCTTAGTATTAACTACATACATATTATTATTTATTATTTTTTTGTTTATTTTGTGATATAATTTTTCTCAAGATTTTTCTATTATTATTATTATGGATTTTATATCCATTTTTTTTTGTTCCATTAGGTATGTTTATATTTTATATATTATATTAGGAGAAGCAATGCCTAATATGTAGGTATTTCCTTCACACTGTGAGTAATGAGTTAGGTACACATATTGTGCATTATGCATATGGTAGGTTTTTTTAGATGTTAGGTTTAATTTTTAAGTTTCACCAGTCCTATGTATAGGTAACTGATTACCTCTATAGGTATTATAATGTAACCATTGCAGTGATGTTAGTTGGTCATGACCAGCGCGCATGACGGTGGGTCATGACGGTCATGACCGTCACGTCACATTCAATTGTTGGTCATGACCATTTCACCGCTTAGTATGGAAATGTACAGTAAAGTAGATTGCATAGTATGCGGTAGAGTAGATGCGGTGTTTAAGTACACTCAAAAACTCCTTCTCGTTCATAAATTTCCATGATGCCTTCTTTGGGAAATAATAGGTAAGTATGTTTGCACAGCAGTCACAAACCAGTCAGAGTGAATTTCATTGGTTGAGAACAGTCAGAAATCTAGTTTCAACCAATGAAATTCATTCTGACTGATTGGCGGCAGCGCGGGCGGGCTACCGTCCTGTACTACTGCGGTCACCCATCCAATCTGCAACCCGACAACGCGTTGCTTGGCTTTGAGTAGGGCGTCCTGTCGTCCTTTATCAAAGCGCCAACGTGCCAGTTTAGGCTAGGATAACTTTTATTCACTTATTTTGTAATTTGTTGAAATTTCTTCTGTTCTGGAATCCCTCGTGAAATCTTTAATAATTTGTCAAACAGTTATATTCAATAATTAACTATCCTCATTTTAAACCCATTTGTGAGTTAATAGACGATAGATTGTAGGTAGAGTGGTGTTTCAAATTAAAATAATTACTATGAACTATGACCATGGTCATGACCGTCATGACAGGTCTAGACCTCGGTCTAGACGCAAATGACCGTCACGATTTTATATGACCGTCATTTCACATCCCTGAACCATTGTAGGTAATAATTTTCTGGAAATAAATAAATATCGGATACCAAAGGAAAGTCGTGTGTATTTTAAATGGACAAGATTTTGAAGATTCTAGAAATGAAATCTCCAAGAAAAAGTTTTAGATTCTATAGGCTCATCTTTTTTACAGCTTTTTTGATTTTGTCAAATTTAGAGCTAAAATACAGCTAAGATGACAAACAATTGTTGTCTATTTCAGATTACTTAATATACTAAATTATGAACATGTAAAAGAAATTAAAGAACCTAGAATAGGAAAATTATTATAATAATTTAGCTTATTGTTGGTACCCTGTGAAATTCTTTACATTATAATATACTTATTGCACGGAATAATCTTAGATTTTTGCTCAGATTTTTGTCAATATTGATGGTGGGTTTTTGCTCGGGTTTTTGTGTCAAAAACCCACTGGGTTTTTAAGATGGGTTTTTGTATATGCCAATCCTGAGGGAGATTTAGGAAAGTCTGAAGGAAATTTGGGGAAATCTGAGGAGAGCTATGAGACATGTTAGGGATATCTGGGGATATCTGAGAGAAATATTACTAGAGAGACCGTGCACGCATTCAGAATTTAATTTTCTATCGATTGAGAATATTCAAGAGTTATCATGTTACCATGTTTTCCACTGCAATAAAAATATTATACATATTATAATAAAGGTAGCTTCGATAGTATTGCCAGGAAAGTAATAGATGAAGAGAGAATGCACAGGTTGTGTTAAGGAGAACACCCAGGGAATTGTGTTCTGTCTTTGCAATGTGCTGGTATTCTATGAAATCCCTGAAAAATTAGGGAGATCTAGCGAAATCTTGGTAAATTTGAAAGAAATCTTCAGTGGATCCCTAGTAATCTCTGGATATCTTCGGCATAAAAAATTCTCTTGTTCACTTGAATTTGTTGTTACCAACCCCTCAGTTTTTTATTTATGATAAATTTTGCAGTAACCACTACATAAATAATAATAATAATAAATCGTTTATTTGGAAAACCCATTAATAAAATTTGTTACAAAAAATTACTTAAAACTAAATCTAAAATCTAAACAGGTATAGGCTCTGTGCTATCACAAACAACAACCAACAAAAGGAACCTTACTTCGATTCATTCATAATATATTCTTTTAATGCTTTTTTTGTTTTATTTAAGGACCCAGTTTTCAACTCATTAGGCAGCAAGTTATACAATGACAAACCCATATTAAATAAACCAAAGGAGGTTGAATAATTTTTTATTGTACATGGATGAAAATTGTACTGATTTCTTGTATGATAACTATGAATTTCATTATTTCTTTGTAAGAGATCTTGTAAATATGGAGGCTGCAGTGCATGTTCTATCTTATAAATGAATAGCAAAAGTTGATATTTGAAACTACAATTAACGTCAAGCCAATTTAAAGAAGTTAACATATTTTTAATTGGTTCATAATGATCGCGATTTAAAATTGCTCTCATTGCTCTATTCTGAAGCACTTGTAATTTATCCACATCAGTCTTATTTCCAAAAAAAAGCAAGGATCCACAGTAATCAAAATGTGGCTTTATTATACTATTAAATATCAACCTCTTTGTATGCAATGATAGTTTGTACCTCAAACGACACAAAAAACCAATCTTTTTACCAATTTTACCAATTATATATTCAAAATGATCATTTAAACTTAATTGATTATTTAAAATAAAACCAAGATATTTTATTTTGTCCACATATTCAATATTCTCGTTATTCATTTGAATTCTAAAATTATTAACAAAAATTTCCCTATCTGTTTTTGTTCTACCAACTATTAAACATTTTGACTTAGATAGGTTAAGCTTCAATTTATTTACACATAACCAAGCATAAAAAATCTTTTGAACTATTTTCAACTTTCTTTTTTAATGATTAGTAGTGCTTTTCAAAATAAGATTTTTTTGAGCTTAGAGCGAGGCTTATGGCCGGTATTAAACACTGAACCGATGGTTGAGCTTCAACCTTTGGTTGACTCCATGCAAATTGATAGGATTTAACCGAAGGTTGAAACTCAACCATATATCGATTCAGTGTTTTATAATTCCGGCCCTTAGAGGTAGAATGAATTGAGCCTTCGTAGAGCATGGCATGGTGAAATAACTCAACAAGTCCTTCCTACTTACTAACTGCCTTATTGAATTACATCTTTAATGCAAATTGTAATAACATTACATTGAATGACTCCCACACAACAAAACATTTTCCCAAGCAGTTAACTTGATATTGTGATTATCAAAACGAACTACTCCAGTTTGATTTGATAAGGTAATTAATTAACTAATATGTATAATAAAAAATCCTTATTTAAAACGGTTTAAAGTAAAAATATTTTATACCGTTACTTGAACTGAACTTAATGTGAAGATAAAGACCTTGTTTCGTCCTCTAGAATTCTTCCAGCTTACCTCATGCATGCAGCAGCTTCGGAATATGGTGATTGCAGACGATCAATCTCGAGAAATGCTGTATTTCTATCAGTTTTTCAGATGAAAATCCAAAAAACATCACTCCAAAACACTAACAAAATACATTTGGCTCGAAGGACCAAAAACAGAAAAATATCATGATGTCATCAATTGACATCTGATAACTGCCAGTTGTCATCTTCTGACATCTGATACAATGAAAAATAACGCTACTTATTTCTAAGCCGATGAAATGTCTGTCTTTGTTTAGTACGTAGGAAATTACAGTGACCGACACATAATAGTGGAAAAATCAATCAATCAATCACAATAATACCAATAGATAAAGATTCCTGTAATATGATATTTTGCTTGTCGTAAAACGCCAAGGTAGATGTCACTAGTACAGATCACTTTACTCCTACACTGGCACTCATACCTATCTCTCTCGTACTTATGGTTTTTTATTTACAGTCGAAGTGTCAGAGAAAGAGAGATGATGGAATCATTCATTGAAGTTTCTAGTACAAATCATATCGTTTGTTTTCGTTTTTCTCTTGCACTCGCCGAACAGGAAACGAACAAAAAACCACTGGAGAGTGGTAAATGTTGTTATTTTTGTTTTTATTTAAACAACAGTTCAGTACCGTAGGTGCGTGTGTTCGTTGGTAAAGTTTAAATAAATAATTATCGTCGCGTTTCGCAACAACTTTTAAAAACGTGTTTTGAACTTGGGCTCGAAGAGCCAGCATCCGTTCCAAAGTGTCTTTTTGTGTCCTAATTTTCAATCCCAAACGTTGTATGCAGTTAATTTAGGAAAAATGCGGAAAAACTACTGAAAAAAATGGAAAACATGATAGGGGTATCACTGTTTTTGGGGTTGTTTTGCTTGTCTCAGGGCCAACTGGATCCAAGGGAACCATTGTTTTCGACAACAGGTAAGAAGGCACTTTTAATTTTTGTTTTTCAAAAGTTGCAGGTCGATGGTCATTTAATTTTAAATGGTCAAAGAGTCAAGGCGGTACAGCAGATACTGCGGCACAGACAAAAATAAATAGGAACCTGTCTGTGGCGCCCCGTTTCTATAATGATGTTCGCCTAATTTTTTTTTAAATAGCTAGTTGATAATTATTCAGAAATTTGAACTTTGATGACCAAATGTGGGATGTAGTAATTACTACCTACTTGTCTTATAGCCATTGAATAATACTTGGAATAATATTTCTTACTATCATCGTCTCCAATGGCAATCTTGATGGCAATAGTGTGACAGTATTAGTTAATCGTCCTTTTTGGCAGTACCTACCAAATATGTAATAATACTTACAATATTATTATTGTTACTTAGTATATAAATTACACTTATAAATAGATAGATAGATAGATAGATTCTTTATTCAATCATGTAAAAAAGACAAATACAATTCACAGTATACTGCGTATCACTAGTTTTCTACATTTTTACCTCTAGGGTGTTGATCATGTCATAAATAAATAAGATTATTACATATACTACTACCGAGGGGGTAACCACTCAGTAAATATGGTGTACAAGAACTGTAATTTTTTGTAAATTTTTGTAATTTTTGTAAATATCAGTAATTTTTGGTAATTTTAGTAATTTTCAGTAATTTCTAGTAATTTTTGGTAATTTTTAGTAATTTTTAGTAATTTTTAGTAATTTTTAGTAATTTTTGGTAATTTTTGGTAATTTTTGGTGATTTTTCAATAATTTTCCAGTAATTTTTTATAAATTTTGAAGGGTATTTTACAAAAACGTTTCTAAAAAAATTATTCTGGAAGTTCAGTGGAAACTTCCTCATGACAAAAGCAATCGTATACATAAAATCTATACCGGGTGGGTCAATGCTCGAGCTCAAGCCAATGAAAAGAAAACAAAATAAAACGGATTTTTCATATTTATCGTCAGTTAAGAAAAAAGGCTCGGAACTGTTAATTTCTATTTTTGAGGGGGAAACTTTTTGCAAAGAATTTTAACTCGAGGTCTAGGGGGTACCTATACGTTGCGTCGTATACGAAAAATTGTAGGTACGGGTGAAGGGTGAAACCATAGATAAGGGTAGAGCTCACCCCCCTAGGGGATGGTAGCAATGGATTGGAGTGATAGTGTTGAAAATACGCACAAAAGTGTTCCCCGCGATAGAAAAATTGACTATAACATATCGATACGGCTGGAAATCCCTAATTACCGGAAAGCGGTCTTCATTGACAACAACGTGTGGTTTTTGCTTTAAAAACTGAAACTCCACGTAAAATTAAATTTTTGAGGTTAATTACACACTGGCTCTGGCACGTACCTCACCAAATATAACTGGGACATCATCACATTAGCTCTTGTCCTATTATATGAATCTTATTGTCAAATATTTGTCAAACTATGAATTAAATGCATTGAAATGAATGACAGTTGAATTAGTCCAGGAGATTATTATGCGTTATTTGTGTCCCAGATACTTTTGGTGACGATGGTACATGCCACAATTTGAAGAGCTCCGTTGAGGTATAGAAGCAAGGATAATACACACTACTACTACTGTACTACAGGGCATAGAGCTACAGGATGGCCTATCCTCATAGGCCAGTGTGTAACAAATCCCCCACCTCTACCCCCACCTTACGCCAAACTACCAGTTGTGACGTAGGCAGCATGTTATTTCTCGCCTTGACGTAGGCTCTTTAAACAGCTGACGACTTAGTTATGACGTCGGAAATGGTGACACACCAATATGGCGACGATTACCAAAAACGAGGCTGATAAGCAATCCTGTAGATGTGTATATTCCTTGCAGCTAACGACTCAATTATGACGTCGAAATGGTAATACACCAATATGGCGTCGATTACTCAAAACGAGGCTGATAAGCAATCCTGTAGGTGTGTATCATCCTTGGTACAGAAACGCCTTCTACAACTCAACTGTCAATATTACATTCCTTCCTTTACCGTGTGAGCTGTGTATATGTACTTTGTAGTACATTCCTCTGTAATGAAAATTCGAGAAGTTTAATATAAAACTTCTCGAAATTTATTGCATTAAAAGCCTATTTTGGCATTGGCACATCATTAAATGACTAAACCCAAGGTTGTTTGAGAGAGGCCAGTTGCCTGACAGCTTCATGACGTCATCCGGGGTGCCTCAACACAATGCAAATTTCCGTAGGGCTACCCAGACGCGTCATCAGGCCACCCATCACAAGGCAACCCATAAACCTCAGGAACCTTGGGTTAAACCATATTATCCTCCTATAGCAATAACAATAACGCATAAAACTTGTTTCGAGTGAGGAGTGAGCCAGGTGACGTCCCTAGAGCAGCGCGTGCCCCCGCTAAACTGGCGGAAAAATATCACCGATGTAACCACTCTCTGTGGTTTATCGTTCTTGATTAAAGATCACCTGAGCTCTATCCAAGGCTCCTAAAGTTGATAGGTTGTCCGGCAATGGGCAACCTGACGACGCATCTAGGGTGCCCTATGGAGATTTGCATTATGTTGAAGCATCTTAAATGACGTCATGCAGCCATCCAGGCAACCTGCCTCTCTCAATAATAACCTTGAGGTCTATCGTCTTTTTGCTCGCGCAGGATTAACCAACCGAACTCGCCTATTCTATTTACCAACGGAACGTGCGCGCGCACGCGTATTTGTAATTTCTGGAGCCCTATTTGAAATCATTGTGAATGTGCCTCTGGTCCCTCTTGCGAATTTTCCGCTTACAGTGCCGTATCTTTATGCCATTTTGGTAACGGGTCTTTAAAAAAAAAACTAAATCAGAGAGTGCTTTGATTACAAAAATATATAGTTTGTCGATTTTAATCTGATACTCCAAAGGAATGTGAGCTGGTAGCTTCCTACATTAGAACGCCAATGGTTACCTGACGCTTGTTTTTGCCTTATGAAACATCTCCTCGCTCCTCATACGGAAAGTGTCAGAATAAAAACGACGGACTTTACGTCGCATTATTATTTCTTTATTGGTCGAGATTTTTGACCAAGTTTTCGACATTACAAAATGCAATGACAAAATTGAACGAAAATATTACTGAGACATACGTTTAAAAAACCCGAGAAAAAACCATAGCCATCTCTGATTTTTTCTCTGAAGACCCATTACAATTGACACAAGATTAATTTCTTCTATCATAATAAAAATTCCAGAAAAATTCAAAAATAATGTTTTAAAAATATTTTGTCATTTTTCAAATTGACAGTAATTTATTTTACTAATGAAATAAAGTGCACTTTAATGTACTAGTAGGTACCTTCTATATAGAAACTACTTATAAAATCAAGTTAGAAATGATGTTAAGGGGTTTCAGTAATTTTAGTAAATGTGTGTAATTTTTTTGTAATTTCAGTAATTTTAGTAAATGTATGTGTAATTTTTTAGTAAATATTGGTAATTCTGGTAAATGTGTGTAATTTTCGGTAATTTTGTAAATATCATTAAATATTTTGTAATATTTTGTAAATATTATTTTGGTGTACACGATTGTTCGGAGTGGTTACCCCCTCGACTACTACATATAACAATAATAATTTCAAACATACAAACACAAAATATAAAATATAAAAATATAAATATGTAGTCACAAGAATCTTTAAAATTTACATAATACAATAAGGAACACATAAATCAAATATTGCTCTTGCAATTTTCAGTTGTCCTGAGCCCTCGAGTGCCTGCACAGAAAGGACCGAGTGTGCGTCCCCATCTATGCCATTTGTCTGTGTTAGTTTGGTAATGATTGCTTGTGTATTTTGATATTAAGAAACCTTACTTTACCAAGTTGTCAATTTGTGGATCAGTGAAAAACTCATCCAGACTGTAGTAAGCTTTTGAGTTTAGGAATTTTTTAATTTCTCTTTTGATATTCTGTGATGGTTGCCTTCGAAATGAAATGGGAATAGCATTCCAGACCCTCAGAATGCTATGCTTAACGTTCTTTGCAATGTATGAGTACTGAGCGGTTTCTATTTTTAAGTTTTTTATTTATTTGTTTATTGTCTAACAGGATAAACCCAATAACAAGACAATTATAATAATCTCAAATTAAAGACTAGACAAATGTTATTGTAAACTTAAAACTAGGTTTTGACATATGCTTCATATACAAATACATGAAGTAACTAACTATAGTTTGTAATTAACAATCAAGAGAAAACAGATGTAAATTAAGTATATTAAGCAGCATCAACAGCTTCCCCCAGCAAAACCCCAGGACAAAAAGTTAACCCCAAGCTAATCAGCAATATTCCACAAAAATGCAAGATTCAATAATCAATCAAAACAATCACTAGAGCAATTTAATTCAGGAGAGCATTTTTTATCTGTGATATAATTTTAGTTTTAAATGACTTTACAGTACCATTGAAAAGATCCAACTCAAGTACAATGGGTATTAATTGATTATGCCATGAGCAGGCTCTATATATAGGCGCATTTCTGGCGAGATTAGAATGACAGTTTTCCAGATAAAATTTATGGTGAGTTCGGGTGTTTGCTGCAGGAACCAAAAAATTGAGGCAACTTAATATTTCAGCCGAATCAATTAAATTATTGCATATTTTGAAAATGAACAATTGACTGGCAAGAATTGTACTTTGCTTAAGTGATAAAAAGTTAAATCTTTCTAGTAATAATTTGTGGTCATATCCCCGTGGAGGGTAAATGCCATCCTGCTTAAAGCTTAGGTACTTGAAAAATCTGCGCTGGACATATTCGAGCCTGTCAACATGTACATCATAACTAGGAAACCATATCAGAGCTGCATATTGTAATTTTGATTTTATCAATGAGTTGTACAAGGCAATCAAGCCCTCCGTATTTGTGAAATCTTTTGTAGACCTAATAATAAAGCCAAGTGTTTTCAAAGAAGCTTGAACGATTTGGTCAATATGTTTATTAAAGCTCAGTTT